TGGAATTTTTAGCATACAGTGTGCATTTGCAAAGAGAGAGAATTTAACTGTGATATCAAAGGTGAAGGTGTTATTTGACGCAGGGTTTGTGGGGAAGGGATGGGAACAGCAAGATGACAGAAAAGATGAATGGGGAACAGATTTATATTTATTTACTAGGACTTTCATCTGTAGTATAATACTGATGTTATCATTTTTAACCAAATGTTAACATGCTAGATAAAGAAATGTGCAAAGTGGTGATATAAGGCGAGGTTGCCAAACACTGCAATTTCCAACTTATATATAGACATATACATTTATACAGTCTGTGTGTAGCCTGTTGAAGGTCACTTGGGGATTAACAGGGAGCAATACCAACATCCACATGCTGCTGCTTACTACATGCTCCTACAGCCACTAGCAAACTCCTTTGGCATTGTGCTTGCTTTCCTATGATTTCATCCCATTGTATTACACTCTGGGTGTAGATTTGAAATGTATATTTAAAATCTACATTGCAGATTTAATGCAGTACATCACCTTAATTGTCATTGTTGTGGTTAACTAGGACCACAGTTAAAAAGGATATGCGCCTGGTGAGCAGTATACTAAAAACCATATAGACTAGAACAGAGAAACCAACTTTCCAAGTTGAAGACAAGTCACAGGTTTATTTCAATGTGGCCAAAAGGAATGCAAGTACAGAAATTTTGCTTCAAAAATGTACAAATATAAACATACAGAGAAATACAAGGTAACTTATACAGTTCTGAGAGCTATTCAGACTTCTCCCCCTCCCCTGATTGGCCAGAAAACAGGGTGCCTAGGATCCATGCCAGAATTGGCTGGCAGGGGGAAATGGCAGCCAGGGATTGAAGGTCCAATCAGCTGCTGGGATGCCCCCCTGGGATGGCACAGTCTGGGAAAACAAAGGCTAAAGATATGAAGATGAGCTTGTGATGAGCTCAGATGTCTAGTCATGTGTCAAACAAAGATAGGGGCCTTAAAAACAAAGATGCATGACTCAGGGGGAAAAGGGTGATGATCTCTCCAGTCAATGTCTGAGTCTAAAATAAAGGAGGTCTGTGAAGGTATATAGTCTGAGCTTTTGTTTTTGTAGGCAGCAATCTCTCAGCTTCAAGTGAACCACATAGCTAGACAAACAAGTTTAGGTTTATCTGGGCTGGTGGGAAATCACCTCTCTGAATATGCATGAACAATGAGTTTGGTTAATTGCCTTGGCTTGGAAAATGGCCCAGGGGGTTGCGCACCATTACTGTCTAGAAAATCTCTCAGGAGGGAAGTTAATATCTCTGGGCTTATCTGGTTATACTTTGGTAAAGAAGTTTATATATTTTCTAATATGAAATAGAAACAGTATATAAAAGGACAAAATCTATATAGAAAGTCATGAAGAATATATACAATTTATTAAAGGGTTAGATATGAAAACTGTTGCTCGTTTGGTTTTGGTCTTCTAATGCTTTGAGCCCACACAAGTTTGGAAAGGGTATTTTTTTTTAAAAAAAAGGGAAAATTGTAAATTTATTTCTGAGCCCTTGGTGAACTATAAATCTTGGTGAGGGGTTTCCATGGCTCAATAACATATTTGTTCAAAGTTATAGAAACATGGGAGGTTTACAAGAGTATTAGATTTTCTGCCACAGGGTGCTGGTGCCTTGCCAAATTACAACTTCCTAGATTTCCTAGTATTTAGCAATGGCAGGTAAAGTGGTGCCAAACTGCATGAAGTCTATGGCGCAGATGCAGTCATCATGTAAAAACCAGAATCAGCTACATAGATTTTTCTCACATGATTGCAAGAGAACAAATGGAAATCAGATGGAAACCCAGGTTGGTCCTATCCATATGGTCATAATATGGACAGCCAGAGGCAGCCCTAGGCAATTTTCAACAGTAAGCAAACAGTATTGGGGGCGGGGGGGGGGGGGCAAACCAATCACTGATATATATTTTCTGTTCGTCGTGGGAGTTCTGTGTGCCATATTTGGTTCCATTCCATCATTGGTGGAGTTCAGAATGCTCTTTGATTGTAGGTGAACTATACATCCCAGTAACTACAACTCGCATATGTCAAGGTCTATTTCCCCCCCAAGAGCGCCTCAAGAGCACCCCTGGGCAAAATCAACTATACTGCAAATGCTTACTTTGCATAATGGGTTGAGCCGCCCCTGTGGACAGCTCATCTATAACTGTAGGGTGTACCATGGGAAGACATTTCCTATGTCTTATGAAAGCATCTAAAGGGAGCCACTTATATCACACTTACTTATATCAGTAAGTAAGGAGAACTTTGCAATGCATCAGGTGAAACATTTGTTTTCCATATATGACGGGTGGTAAAGAAATGTACCAATATTCTTTAAGATTACCCTTTTGGAAAACCTCTATAATATTGATGTGCACACATACATGCATAGGGGAGAGGATTACTGTGACTGTCTTATTGAGGCTACACATGCCAACTTAACAGAAATAGCCTGTCATCCAGAATCAAATATATTTGCAAGACAAAAGCAGACTTTGATATACCTTTTTCCTGGCTAAAAGCAGAGTTGTTTCACAAAGCTTTTTGCTGCTATCATTCTTGAACACAAAGCTTTGTGATGAATGTGCACATTCTGAGCTGCATTCTACATTAGCCAGATTTTCATCCGATGGTTATATGTTCCTATAAAGCTCAGATCTAGTTGCCTTGGCTTAGAAAATGAAAGAGAGAAAGAAAAGAAAAGAAAAAGAAAGAAAGAAAGAAGAAAATATAGAGCTTTTGATAAAAGTGCAGATAGGGTCACCCAAGAAGTAAAAAGGTCAAGGCTAGGGTTTTGTTTTTGTTTGTTTTTTAAAAAAAACAATTAACAACTAAAGGAACAAATAAATTTCAGAATTATTAATGGTATGAACATATGCATTCCTTCTTTGACTTTTTTTTTCTTCATAATACAGAGAAAGCCTAAATGCACTCAAGGAACATAATAAATATCACTCCTTCCATGCTTCAAAAGAATTTGAGTTTTAAACAGGTTAGACTCCTCCAACATGCACTACTATCATAGTGCTTCCCCAGTAAATATCCATGCTATTTGCAAAATAATAATAATAATAATAATAAAGCATATGGCTGATCCAGATAAAAAAGGTCAATTTTCTGAGTACTCATCAGTCATTGTGTGCCAAAACTCTCTAGAAAAATGGAAATAACTATTTCCAAATAACATTGAATAGAATTTGGTAAGAGAGCATGGAAATGGGAAGAGGAGGGCAATGGGGGATGAGGGGTTAATATATGTAGCATCTCTATGTGCAGACTCTCCATGGCATCATTTGGCACATGAAATGGGTTCATGTGAACCACTTAATATGTTCAAGAGAGACAGAACGAAATACTTTAAACACTGTGTCAGTAATTTTTAAAATTCATTACCATAATATGTAGTGCCATAAAACACACACTTACCAGTACATAAAATTTTCAAAGTGATTAACACATATCTCTGGTGGCCAAGCCTATCAGTTGTTTAATAGATAACATGAAATTCCTTTAATTAAAAGACTGGTTTTTCTTTATTCTAGCTCTATATCTATTCAGGTATTGGTCACATATTGATATCTATTCACAAGTTAATTTTCACTGACCCACACTCAACTCTGATCTGGCATACCTCTTCATGGTTTAAATGAGGGGTTCTCAAACTTTTTCAGCCACAGAGCCCTTTTTGAAGCAAAAGTTTCTTGTGGAGAACCAAGAAATTGTATTATCAGGCACGAGCAAACTTTTTGATACATATCGTTTAAAAAATTGACATATGGGTCAGGCCAGTTGCAGATGGCTGAAGGGTTTTGTGTGAACAATTTGAAAAAAACATGAATATATCTCATTTATAGTGCAAAAAAGGAAAGAAAAAAATGAACAATACAATATTTAAAATGAAGAATAATTTTAACCAATGTAAACTTAACAGTATTTCAGTGGAAAACCCCAGAGGCCATCCAGTCCAACCCCCAGCCTTTGTAATAATAATAGTAATAGGAGCAACCCCAGGAGTCGTCCAGTCCCACCCCTTCTGCCAGGCAGGAAAAGCACAATCAAAGCACCCCCTGAGTAGTGGGAGAGAAATGGGGTTTTGGAAGCAAACAAGGCGAGAAGGAAAGGATCTGGGTGGTGATGAAGGTGAGAAAAAAAGGCCTTTTGGGGGCAAGGGAGGCAAGGAAAGGGGGCTTTTGACAGCAAGGGAGGCAGGGAAGGGGGGGAGTGGAAGAGAGAGAGAGAAAGAGAGAGATAGGAAAGGAAGGAAGGAAGGAAGGAAGGAAGAGAATGGAATTGAATGGTTAGACATGAATTTAAGCATGCCCTCAGCCAAGTAACACTTATTCAGAAGTAAACTCTGATGAATGTAACGTGATTTACATCCAGCTAAGTATATTTAGGATTACTCTTAAATGCTCATTTTATTCCAGAAGTGCTGTACATAAATGCTTATTGTAAATATATTGTGAGAACTAATTGTCTTTGTTATTGGTTTTAGTTGGTAATGATGGTAGTAACTCTGTAATTTGTTCCACAGAGAACACGACCAATGAGCAATAAAAGTTAATATATTGAGGGTGGGGGTATGGGTTCTATGTATATATCCTGTACTTGCTAATTGGCCTTGTAAATCAGAGGATCAAATGTATAGACTTGGATTAGATATTGCATTTGCTAAGCGGCTTCTTTACAGCAAAATGTACACTTGTTGGCAGTAGAACTTGACACATGACATATCTACTCACCTCTAATTAGCAAATGCTACTAATGCAGATTATAGGTGAAGAAATTGACCTAATTTACATGGTGAGTTCTACTAAAAAAGGATATACCAGGAGAGATACTATATAATGTATAAATATATTGTCTAAAGCTAGTAAATATATCTAAATATCCCTTTCCATTCTCTTTCTCTTTCTTTCTCTCTCTTTTCCTCTCCCTTCTTCCCCTCTCTTTTCCCACTTACTGTCAGGAAGGGCCACTTCTGAAGGGCCAAGTCAACAAAGCCTGGTATCAACAGAGACGAATGGCGGTAGCAGCTACAACAGTGAGTAGATTTGGTTGAGTTGGGGGGGTGGGGAGAGAACCAAAGAATAATGGCATAAAGAGGTGGCACTGCAGTCCTTAGATATTTTGGGATAGCCTTTACTAAAAAATTGTGGGGATATATTTTCCATTGCATTAGATGTATTAGTAATATTCCTGGTACTCCTCAAAAGACAGCCAGCAGGATAAGGCCTGTATTCTACCCACAACTTTCTGTTCTAGCTATTTTTTCTGATGGACCCATCTGTTTGTTCCATTGTTGTTTATAAAGCCATTTCATTGGCATAAGCTGATGCAGGGAAATAGAGGCATGGAGCCAGCTGTACAGTTAGTGGATCATCAGCTAAATGATCCCCTTCATTGGCATGTGCTGATGGGTCTCTGCCAATCCCAGTTTGGTGCTGAACAGGAACATTGATTTATGATGCAGCATATGCTTCTCGGCTCTATTTTTAGAATGGGCAGAGAGATCCTGTCTTCAGCACAGCATGATCATCTTTAAGAAATTCTTCCTCCAAATGGTCTTATCCATCAGGAGAAATGAAAATGAATCCCAAAAATAATGTGGTCCAGCTTTCCACAAGAAAAAAATTCTCAAATGATTCTAGCTTTATTTTTGATGTTATTTTTCTGGAATGGATAGAAAAGGAGGTAATTTTTATCAGTTGTAGTTAAAGACAAAGCGCTAATTGAAATTATTGGTTAAAATTGGTAGGAACCATTGCATTAATGGGGATTAAAATAAACATTTACAAAGTTTTTATTGATTTTTTAGTCTACTCTAGTTGGGAATAAATATTAGATTTCACTTATAATATAGGTCTTCCCTAAATACAAGAAATCTAATATGAATGCTAAGGATTTCTCCAGGAATGTTTTCATAATGTTAAGGAGTTCTGAGATCTATAACATTACCTTAATCATAAAAATAATGAATGAAGAAAACGTAAAACTGAGAAGTTCTGTTTTTCAGGGTGGTAGTGGTGTGAGATAAAACACAAGGACAAGTGGCAATAAAGAGACCTAGGATGAGGATCAGATAACATGACCGAGGCCATGCCTACATGGATCCAATGAAGTAGACTCAACTTTCAACCGTTATGAGGAGTCTACACAATGTAGAGCTGGATTTGTACTAGGAGTGCATCTGGCAGCCAGGGAGAATAGGATTTACTCCAGAGCTTCTGGGGTGGAATGGGGTGTCTGTAGTGACTCTGGTGTTTTGGAGGTGTAGACAGCTGGATCAGACTGCATCCAGCCAATCAAGTGTCCACATGCCCAACAGACCCATCACTAGGTTGCCAGCCAGAAACAGCTCCCTTACAGAAGTTTGCTGCTGATATTGCTTTTAGTGAGGCCACAACAGCATGGTTAGCCATGTAACCAGAAGAAAAGACATCATAGTAAGCCTCTGTGAGGGAGTTGCTTGTGACCAGTGACACAGTGATGGCACTGATAGTCCCAGTGCACTCTTGACCCATCTCTATATTTGGACACTAAAAAACCCCGGGAATACATCAGGGCAGCTCAAGAGTTTACCCCAGAATATGTGAATATGTGTAGATCCAGCCTGAGTGCTGTCAGTAGAGAAGATAAAGGATCCATGATGGTTGTCAGTGGAACTGGGAAATTTGAGTATCTGGAATAGATTTAAATGGAATAGAATATTTGGGAATTACCTTGACTCTGTCATTCCATCAATCTGAATACCATTAAAATATACCTCATTTTTTTTACTAGTTGTAACTAAACTGTATCTGCTGAATCAATGGGATTTAGCTATGTGTTGATTTACCATTCACCAGTTGGTTATTTATTCTGTCGGGAGTGCTTTGAATGCAATCTTCCTGCTTCTTGGCAGGGGGTTGGACTGGATGGCCCATGAGGTCTCTTCAATCTCTGTGATTCTGTGATTATATTCTAGCTGGTATTAACTGGCATCCCAGCCTATGATTTGTTAATGTGAGCAACTAATACAAGATTTATTATCTACACTACTTTGGTCTTGTCAAAGTCAGGAATAGGAATGTCTGTCCATTCTCCTATACTCAGGTTACAAAAGTGGAGAAAGGCACATTATTAGGAACCATCCCTATTTATAAACTGAATAATTGCTTCTTCAGCTTTGGCTGGGAAAGGGAGAACTACCCTCATTATCCTCTTTGTACTGAGAGTAGCAGTCATTGATCAGTATGGTAGATTATCTGTATCCAGTAGGCAAGCTGAACTTTAACAGCCATTAAATGAAAGGTAACTTCAGAGCTATTAGGTTTAATAGCTTATGGAGTAATAAGTTGCAGCTTGGAAAATAACAGTCAGGGGGTCACTTTGAGTTAACGGGAGACTACATTAGGCAGGCAATAGCCATGTCTGTCTTTGTATTTTGGTTTGCCATACTACTTTTCGAATTCCAGCAATGCTGCCATGTACTGAACCATGAAATGAAATGAAATAACTCTTAAAATATGAGCAGGTATAGTAGTAGTTCAAAGATTAAAATGTTGACAATGTAAAAAAAAATAGAATAGTGCTTAGCTTGACATTAACATTGTGCCTGTAAAGAGGCCAACAGAGGACATTTCAGAGAGAAGGAAGATTGCACCTTTGAGGAGCCTCCACTCCAGACCACAGTTCTCCAAATCTGAGAACGATTCATAATTTCCAGATCAGTTCCTGTGGATCTTCAAAAAGATGGAGGTCTACCTGACAAGAAATGCTTCCCAATAGGCTTTTTCAACCTTGTTGCCTTTCTCAGAGAGTTATACCCAAACGAGGAAGACTCTTCTTTAAATCATTATTTGGGGACACCACATTTTATTTGAGAACACAGAAATGCTGGACCACTCTCATAACCATCATGTCAGACTACACAGAGAAGCCATTGAAATACACAAGCATGTGGACAATTTCAACAGAAAGGAGGAAACCATGAAAATGAACAAAATCTGGCTACCAGTATTAAAAAACTCTAAAATTGCAACAGCACAACAACAGAGAGGAAGCTGGCAGGGACATCTAATTACCTCTCAACAAAAGTTTGCTCCAGGAACAGTCAGCCCATTGTATGCTAATCAAGGTGGTCAGTTGAAACATTCACACCTAGCTCCAGCAGACAAGAGTCCTTTGTCTCACCCTGGTCATTCCACAGATATATAAACCCTTTTTCCTAGTTCCAACAGACCTCACTATCTCTGAGGATGCTTGCCATAGATGCAGGCGAAATGTCAGGAGAGAATGCCTCTAGACCATGGCCATACGGCCCGAAAAAACCTACAACAACCCATTATTTGGGGATTTTAAAATTATAATTTGTTACAAATACATGTTGTGTCATGTTGAGATGTTGTTTCCTGGCTATATCAATTTAGCAGGAGTTTAAAATTTTCTCCTTCATGAGGAGAAAAGCAATGGACTGGATGTTCTAAAACAACAGTGAATGGTGAGTTTATGAATTGGGTGTTATTATCTTGAATGTTCACACAAGCTAGAACAAATAGTTTTTCTTTGCTTCATCACTAATGCCCTTTTCCTTATTTCTAATTATTTTTTTATTTTGGTTATTCATTGGAATTAATGACTTGATTACCCCATACAACTGTCTATAATGAAATGTACAGCCTAGACTGTCTAGACAGTATAGACTTTGTTATAAAATATCCATAGACAGAGACATTGAATTATTGTTATTGTGGGCCTTCAAGTAATATCTGACTTATAGTGACTCTAAGGAGACCCTATCACAGGGTTTTATTGGTATTATTTAGTCAGAAGAGATTGCCTTTCTTTCTTCTAAAACTGAGAGTGTTTGACTTGCTTATGGATCTGCCAGAGGTTTTATGGCCAAATAGGGATTCAAACCCTGGCCTGCTGGTCATAATCTAATGCTACTAGACCAAGTCTCTCAGTCATTTTAATTCATTAAGTTCAAGTCTAATATAACAAAAAAAGAGCATTATCCATAGACATTTATTATAATTATAAACAATTGAGTACAAAAGAAACAAAAACCTTCAGGATTGCAGCAAACTAAAGGAATTAAATGAATTAAAACACAATTAATATTTCAATCATAGAATCATAAAATCATAGCATTGAAAGATGCCACAACTGCATCCAGTCTAGCCCCCTGCTATGCAGGAATAATAATAATAATAATAATAATAATAAGAAGAAGAAGAAGAAGAAGAAGAAGAAGAAGAAGAAGAAGAAGAAGAAGGACGACCTAGCCAGCACACCGCTGTTCAGATCTCTTTAAAATGAAGACCAAATTACATACAAAAGACAAAAGACCCACTTACCAGGGCAACATACTTATCTGCCCTGCAAAGGACTTCCAGGAGTCTGGGAGCAGCTGGCAGGAAGCCTACCTATCATTAATATCCCCATAAAATTCTGATAGCAGTGGACCTAAAATAATAATAAAAGAAAAAAAGTAAAAGTTTGCACTTGCAACATTCATTCAAAACATCCTCCATAGACATGCTTGTATGTGTCTCACAGGCTATCTCAAGATTATATTCAACCACTGTCTGATTATTTTCTGATAAGAGCAAGAATAAATCTGTATAAAGATAACGTGTTTGAATTGAGGCACAATCTTCTTTGTGGTGGTCAGTCAGGATCACAACAAAGGGGCTATTTCCCCTGTCAGATCCTTCCCACTTTCCTTAACTACCCACTGTATGCTTATTTATTCTAATCTCCTTTTGAGTCTGCTATGCTGACTTCTTTTTCCTACAATATTTTATTCTTCTAAAATATAAAAATCCCCTCTTATTAGTGCTGCTCAACATACTTCTCAGTCATATGTCTTTCAGATTTTTAATCCAGCAGCAGGGAGAATACAATTCATTAATATTTTATAATGACATGAAATTGAGAATGTTTGAAAAGAGAATACTCCATTAAAGTGCATGTGTGTGTTCTTGCACGTACTTACTTGAATTATCTGGCCATATCTGTTTTGCAGTATCCTGCTTGAGGCACACTTGAGTCTGGATT